TTCCCCTGCAGCCATGGTGGCATCAGTGGTCGCCGGCGAAGTTGGAGAATGGCATGGGTTCTCTGCAGCTTCGGTTTCAGCGTCGGACACTGATAGGATGTCATCAGCGGCTCGCGGTTGGGGCCAGTAGCAGCCGTGAACTATAGGAGACCAGCCAGAGGCGGCAAGACAAGCTCGGACCCAGGTACGTCTAGGACAGGTTCTGGCCGCCACGCATCATAAAAGTAGATACGGTGTAAGGCTTCGAAACTATAATCCTGTGCCTTTCTGCTTGCCGCAGCGCCAGATTTTGGCTGGTATCGCTTGGTGCATCCTACGCTGCACCTTCGGCCGGGATCCGTGCTGTTGTGCAGTAGTCTCCAACATCCTGACTGTCGCCCTTCTGGGATGACCGGCCATTCTGGTGTTTGGGAAGCGTCCAGAGCATAGCCATAGACGGGCCCGTGCGCTGCCGTTCGAGCAGGGAGGTAGGGCCCATCCTGCAGGCTAGATGCTTCAGCTGTCAAGAGGTGCGACTGAGTGGCTAAGACAAGACGTAAGCGCCTCACCTTGCCCTCATGATGTTCTGCCAAGCAGACTGGGAGAGAGCCAACCCATAGTTCATGCGGCAATAGTGCTTTGTGGAAAGCGGCAGTGGCTTTCCTCACCTGGATTGCCGTAAGGTCAAGGGAGCCGTAGACCGTGAGTTGTCGGGTATCATTAGTGTGTATAGTTTGCACTCCATGCAGGAGGGCAGCCAGCACCTGCAGAGCACCTGGCATTCCTTGCATGTTGAGTGGGCAGGCAAGGATGGTGAGGCTGGTGGCGCGGCTATATGCAACATTAGCACGTGTGAAACATTCTTGATCGAAATCAAGATTTAGCCCATTGCCACTTAGGAAGGTTGATTGTCCATGGATGACAATGCAGTGCTTTGCTGTAGCTCCGGCTACTTCGACTGCCGTTTCAGCATTAGCTTGCTTTCCGGTGATGGCAAAGTAGTTATGCAGGTTTGTGGCACCCTCGCGAGTGGTCGTGAGGGCCAGGATGGCCTCGTTGCCCGCTCCTGCACGACAGAGTTCGTCTTCAAGGTGTTGATACACACGCACAGTAGGATTTTTTTGGGGGTCTTTCCGTGCATCCACATTGTCCGAGGCATGACACCAGTGGACGAAACGGAGTCCTGTGGCGACCAGTTGATCTTCTCGGGTCGAGGCTGTGCCTATTTGCCAGGTGTCTCCCAGCCGGCAACCCTCGCACTAGTCGGTAGCATGAGACTCCAGCGGTGTTGACCAGCAACTCCCGATCTCTTGGCTGCACTCTGCGCTATGTGGAAGTCCAGTGGGCTGTCAGGATTGGTGGCCGCATAGCCAAGACCAATAAGTAGTCCCTCGGGGAGTTCCAAATCGACCTTGGATAGATCACTGTAGGTTGCTTGCAGCGCGCTGGCAAAAGGGGACTTGGCCACAACCCCTTCTGGTCGAAACCAGCAGGCCTGTGATAATTACAAACTGCTTACCTATGTGGACATTTCGGACACCAACATCGAAGAAATTCGAGAATTCACCTTCGTACACTGTACGAGGCTCCATGATGTCCGTCTTCCATACACAGTACACACCATCCATGTGAAAGCCTTTATGGACTGTGCTGCATTGCAAGAAATAATAGCCATCCCACCCACACTGCACTATAGGCGTTTCTCGATTGTACAGTCCTGAAGAGACTCACGAGAATGCCAGGCCAAAGAACTGCGTAGAGAGGGACGTGTGCTGAAGAAAATGCATTTGCGCTTTGTCCTGCATGGCGTTGGCCGCAATGGCTGCATATGATCCAAGATCTTGGATGTGTGTCGGACTTGGGCTAAGTCCATAAGAAACACGGCATCAATGTTAGCCACCAATTTCGAGCAGAATTGTGAATTCACATCCATACACTATACAAGATTCTAGGAGGTCTACAGTGACAGACACAGCTGTTCCACTCGCACTCCATTGCACAGCCTGCATAGTCCTTCTCGATTGCGCAGTCTGAAGTCTTTCCACGAAAGCTAGCGAAGCTAGCTGGAGTTACTCTTGCGATAGCAAGGTTTCTTTCGACCGGGTGCAAATCCTAACCCCTGATTTTTCAGGTCGAAGCCCCCCCCCACCCCCCCCCCCTCCCCTCCCCTCCGCCCCTCTCCCCTCTTCCCCTCTCCCCTTTCCCCACCCCACCTCCCCTCTCCTCCTCCTTGTCTTCCTCCCACCTTCCCTCCCTCCCTCCCTCCCTCCCTCCCTCCCTCCTCCCTCTTCGCAAGTTCGACTCCGTCCTGTCGTCGCTCTTTGGCATGCGGTTAGCGTTGCGTATCTTGCGGCCGCACTCGCTCACTCTCACTGTCTCACTGTCTCACTGTCTCACTGTCTCACTGTCTCACTGTCTCCACTTTCCCATTCTGGAGCGCTAGCTTTCGCCCCCCCCCTTGGCCTCAAGTCATGAGAAGGCCAGGCAAAACAAAGTGGAGAGTGGCATCTGCTGACCAAGGAACTTGTCCTACCGCCTGAGGCCGGTCTGTTAGTTCACGGCTGTTACTGGCCCCCACAGCAAAATGGTGATGAAGTCCTCGCAGTGTCAGATGTGGAGACGGAAGCTGCTGAGAACCCACACCCTCCCACCAAAGCAGAACAAGAAGATGGCTTTGGAAAAGGCCATACAGAGGAGCCAGACACGTTGCAAAACCCCATGTTGACAGTGGATTGGTCTGCTTGGTGCTGGGTATATTGGCTGACGCACCAGAGTTGAATAGTACAAAGTACTCAGGACAAGTGTGGGTCAACTTGAAGCTGGAGAGGATCAACGCCATCCTGTACCATGTCAGGAAGCTGGGGAGGGAAAGCTTGACAGCAGCTGCAGCAAAGTTGACAAGGGAGAAATCACACAGCTGCAGTAGGGTCTGAAGCTGTTGGATTGTGGTGCTTTGAAAAAGGCACATGTTTTGGAAAAGGCATCTGCTTCGGAAAAGGCAGGAAAGAAGACACCAGAAGAAGAATGTACTGCCGTGTTGCCTTTTGAAGGGCTGCGCGCGATTCAATTTAGTGGTCAGAAATTGTTTTGTCAGCATTGAACACAAGCGACAATTCCAAAAAGGGTTATCCGCGAGCCATCCAGATTCCAGCAGCCGCCACTGGATCTGTTCCGGACAATGCTTTTTACTCCGTCCCACGACTGAGACACATATTGGAGCAGCGGTATGGCAGAGTTGTCAGCAGCTCCAGCTCGTCAAGCTGCCAACCACTGTTGTATGCATCAAAGAAGGTGCCTTCCAAGGTTGCTATGCACTGACACAGGTTGTTGCCCCGGGTGTGTGGATTTTGGTCGTCGAGTCTTTGCAGAATGTTGCTCGCTTCGGCACATCGGGGTCAATGAAGGAGAGACCAATGAACTTGCGCGGAAGCCCAAATTTCCCCATATGTCTTTGAAAGCTGCCTAACACTGTACTCAAGTTGACTTTGCGCAAATTGCCCCACCTGCTAGAGACACAATTGGACAATCAGGTCCATCGCTCCCTCGAGGAACACCAGAAGGAAGTCTTTGTGGATCGGGTATCGAGTATTTGAGACTCCCATCAGACATCAACTTTCGGCCAGGATTTCGTTGGTTTTTGGTTGTGGCTGGTTGGTGGTGTTGTTTTGTTTGGTTTTCTTTTCCTGGCCGAAGACTCACTTACAAGTAGCGCAAGATGACCTGTGCATTCTCTGCACACATGGCGGCTCCTGCCCACGCTACTAGTTTGCAAGCAGGGGACAGCGCGCCGAGTACGGCTTCGTGTGTGTGTGTGTGGCCACACCTGTGCCTAAGGTTTTGAGTCACAAAGGACGCTACTAGGGGCCCCTGGTTTCGCTACTAAGGGCTCCTGGTATCGCTACAAATCAAAAAACAGCGCGAAGAAGAGGCAGGGGAGCGAGAAAAAAGGAGGCAGGGGGTGCAAGCAGCCCATCCAGTCTTGCACCAACGAAGACACTGGATGTGTGCTGGTGAAATCAATCCGGGACGCCGCACCTGCCACAATTTTTAATTCTAGGCTCCTTCTCGTTTCACCAAATGTTAAACATTTCAAGTGCTGCCGACTCCTTCACCATTCCGTTTGCAAGTCAAGGTCTACAATGCAGCGGGTAATGTAATCGTCTAAAGTGGGACTTCATTCTTTTACTAGCTCTTCCGAGCAACCATCTAAGTGTGTGCCCCTTGAAGTCAGAGGGTTCCACTCGGATTGTGGTGTTTTTCTTCTTCAGTTTATCAGCAGGGGGACACGGCGCCAGATTGTCAGCTTGGCCAGCTGGACGTACCTGCAAATTTTAACCTTTGGTAAAGTGCTAATGCACCGGCAGTCACTCACCGTACACCGTCATCCTGCTCGACCCGTGATCGTCGATTTGTTTCTTACGCTTTGGGCCTCTCTGCCTTTTGAAGACCCCAGGCTTCGATGGTTCTTACCTGTACTCTTAGGAAATGGTAACCTAGGCCGGCGTGTGGCACCGCTTCAGTACGCCAAATCATAAGTGTGATTGTATGTGTTTTTGTTTTGGTGGGGACGGCGCTTGAACATGCAATGGTCCAGTGAGGTATCACAACATTCCGGAGGTGTTATGATATCAATTTGGTTGTTGTAGTTATTTGAACTATATCCTGTTTGCCCAGAAAACTGGATGGTGTGAAAAGCGCAGCCATCGAACATTTGCCAAGGATGCAGCAAAACATTGGCATGCTGGTCAAATGTGGGACACTTGCATGTGTGAATTTGCCTTGACCGAACTTGGCCTTTTGAAGTTCTGCAACCACTGTTGCCGTGTGCATGCGCTGCGGCTCAGCGTTGGTTGTGCCCTCATGCCCCTGCCTTCGGGCCTGATGGCGAGGCCGGGTTTGCTCTCGCAGAATGTTCGTCATTGTATTTGTAACCAACGTTTGCTGCTGCATGTGCAAAACCTGTCAGTTGTAATTTTCTATTCTTTCGCTGCTTCCCGGTCATTCAGCTTCGTTGCCGAGGCATGGCATGTGGCAGTGGCTTCAGAGCCTCAACGCCAGGTGGGTTGTATCAATCTATCATTGGGAAAATCAAAGCCAGAGGACATTTGTTTGAAACAGATTAAGATCCAATTTGTACTTACCACCGGATGGTTTTCTTAGCAACCTTTTCGATCATCCGATCATTGAGAAAACTATGTTTTCATTGGCACGGGGGGTTTTAACATGTTTGCAGGGTCAAGCAAGAATGGTTGATGACTTCGATTGTTGGAATGAATTCTCACAAAATTGTTCCATTCATCGTTATTAGGTTGGAGGCCATCGCTAGTAGAAACAGTGATTCCACGACATGGGTGCATTTGGATTTTCAGCGTTCGCACCTTCGCTTTAGGCGAGCCAGTGAAGGCGCGCAGCTCGAGGATGGGATGAAAAGGGACAGTTTCCGGACTTTGTGCGAAAATTCAATAGTGAGTTCTTGTTTGGATTTGTCATGATCTCTTTGCGCAATGCGGCAGTTACTGGGTGCGCAAATCCGAATTCCATTGAGTACCATGGACACTGCAGTGAACATCCACGAGTTCCGACGTCCATCCACTCCATTCGCCGACCTCCGCGGCGTCGACGATCGCTTCTGCCCCGACGGTTCTGAGGTGCCACTCCTCGAGGTCTATCGCCCCAGGACCTCCGCGCCGCCGCGGTGCCTGGACACGGAGGTACGAGGGCCGAAGCTGAAAACTGAGGGGGATCACCTGCTGGTGGTGGTGGTGGTGGTGGTGGAGGTGGTGGTGCTATATATGATTCTGCAAACCAATGTTTTGTGTCCACAAGGTGGCATCGAAGTCGTTCCGTGGCCATAATTTATCTCGCAATCTACTAAAATTCTACTACTATTTGAGTGCTTGAACACCAACAGCTTTTTGATCCAGGATATGATGCCTTGGACGAAGGATCGATTCCAAGCTTGAAACTATGTAGGACAATAAAGCTTTCAAGGACTGAACTACTTACTTCAACTCAACTTCCCTTTTTTAGGCCAGATTTATTGGTTGTAGTTGCAGCCTAGTCTGCAAAATTCCAGCATTATGTAAGACGTGAACAGGAAAAGAGAGATGTAGCCCTTTCCCACCAAGCTCGGTGTCGCAGGCTCCGCGCCAAGCGGGGAGCCTTGGGAACAGGTGCAGGGTCTCAAGTGAGTCGGGGAGCGCAGATGAACATCCAAACCCAAACAGTCGATCATGGCGCCGTTGGAATGATTTCATGCTCGTCTGGCGGACACCGCGCAGGTCTAGCCGCCATTCTTTCCCAATTTGTTTGGATCTTGAGGCTGCCTCGGCGCGCGGGTGCACCCGTGGCCCGCTGAGTGCACCGTGCACGCCCTCCAGCGCTCGTGGAACGCCCTGTGCCTCACGGGGATGGGTCTATGCACCTTGGCAGAGAAGGTGTTGAAAGATTTCCTGGGTGAGATCACATGGGCATGATCCTTGCAACATCCCTATATAAATTTACCAGTGCAATGTAGCCAATCGGTTTTGATACGCCAGTATGGAACCTGGTTGGTTCCTTCAGAAAGCATCATGACAACCTGGAACAGAGTTTGTTAAACGCACCTGAAAGAGCCTCAATAAAACATGGAGATGGAACGGCCCCATGTTCTGTGGCCAAGTTAGTCTTGCAAAGATTAACAGGACACTTCTGCTGGTTTTGAAGGAGTCGCTTCGTAAACACCCGTCGCCGATTTTGACCCATATCAAGCACACGACTTGCACTGAAGGGACCTAGTCTTGTGAGCTGCCTAAGAAGCAAAGTTAAAAAATTAAGAACTATATATGTTAAAGAAAACAATACAAACACAATACAAAAGGAAATACGAGAAAAACGGAATGACAATAGGACAGCTACGATAGACACCAGCACTTCCAGAGGAAGAACAGAACACAACATTTGTCAAAGAGGCACTGCAACAGGTAACTGTTCACTGATTGAAACCCAAGTAGAGGCTGCATGTGGCATAGACAAAGGCCAGCACAACAGAATAGACCAGGATATTTTGAGTATAGGTAATTTCTAGCCAGCCAGGGGAAAGCAACAAGGAAGGAATGTCAGGTCATCTCAGTAAGACAGCAAGTGCAGAGTGTCATAACAAGGCCTTCATTGAATATGTTTCCCATTTTCTCACCGTTTTTGTTTATTTTTATTTTTACTTTTCATTTGTATTGTTTTTGTATTTTTTTGTATTGTTGTTTTTTTTTTTCAATGAAAAAAGGATTTGCGCTTTGTTTTTGTTTTGTTTTTGTGCTTTTCACTATTTTCCTCGAAAAAACAGGTAAACCATAGCAAAAACATAGAGAACAAGTAGTAAACAAGTACGAAAACAATCGGAACACAATAGGAAACAAATACGACAAAAAACAAACACAATAGGAAAACAATACAAAACAAAATAGGAAATAAATACAAAAAAGGCAAGAAATAGGAGAGCAAATCCAGCACAAAAGGCAAACGAGGTCTTGTGGACTGCTTTTGAATACTTGCTCAAGAGCAGGAACAATAATCATTCGTACGCTGTTCGTGGATTTTAATCTTACAGAGTATGGCTCGCCACAGGTGTCTTGCTCTTGTTTGAAACTCTTTTCTTCGAAAAGCGGATGCCAACAACATTGAAGTCCACACGACCTAGCACAAGTTCCATTTTATGTCAAAACGGTTGAAGGCTTCTATATAAAGGTTTGTGGTTGTTGAAGGAGGGCTCCTGTTTAGAGTTTAGAGCTTTCTTCTCTTGCGAGGCTTCTTGGTGTTAGGCAGCAACCTAGTGTTCCTGCTCATTGTGAACTGTGTGCCCTATTTTTTGGAATGTCATTTTGTATTATTTTTGTATTTTTCTTTGCATGGATTTTGTAATGTTTTGTATATTTGTTGATTTTGTGATTTATTAGAGTTAGCTTTTATCCAGGTCATAAACCTAGTCATCCACTCGGAATAGTTGCATCGAGAGAGAAGGACCCTCTATGTGACTGAAGCATGCCTGTTGAATCTCTTTGGCTATTGCCATCAAGTGCCTTTTCTTGCTCTGCTTGGAGCCGGACCCTCGTTTGCTGTCACCGGCACGACCGAGCGTCCACCGACCACGCCAGAGCCCGACCACTTGGTACCGGCCAGCGGGGCGGCCTCAGGGTGGACAGGAAGATGACTAGGACAGACGAAGCAGATGGTGCTTCACAGCACGCGTTTCCAACATGCAGGGGGATTTAAGTGTCAACCTATTTCTGGAAATCGTGCGTGTGTCGACCAGGATTGCTGCGACGTTTGAGTATTGGCATTTATGTTATCTTCGGAGGTGGTCGCCAACCACAGTGCCGAACGAGACCCATCCCAGCTTGTCTCGTTCTCGGCCTGACTGTGAGGTGCCCTTAGAACCGAGGCTGGGCCGCGCACGGAGAGTGGGGTTTCTGCGATGCCGGCTCGACAGCTAGGGCGTTCTGTGTCTAACACCGAACCAAGCAGGATTCACCCGATCCAGCAGATGCTAAAATATTCCATTTACAAAGTTAATTCAGTATAGTTATTGTATAGTCGTTTGGAGTTTGGATGCATGTTCAGCCTGTGATTGTGAACAACTAGAAAACATGAAGATGTGTACAGCACAGAGAACCACAAGAAGGACTCGATGGACTGGTTATCCGGAGGCCTTTGCAGCATCCGCCCTTTGAGTGGCAGGCCCTGGGATCGACGTGAAGCGGCCGAAGTTGAAGAGGTTCTCTTTGAGCAACCTTTTGCTCCTAGTAGTAAGGCCAGGAGCCCCTAGTAGCGTCCTTGCTCCTAGTAGTAAGGCCAGGAGCCCCTAGTAGCGTCCT